TACCATTTAACCCATGTGATGCCTACTATGACATCTGTAAATTACTTCGATTTATCAAACATGTCATGCTCTAAAGTAGACCACACCAAGTTTGCTCCACACTATCACCACCCCCTACGTCACTCACTTTGCATAATTCTCCGCTGCTTCTACGTACCTGGATTCCTCTCCCCTAAGCTCCCTATCTAGTCGCTGTACAACTTCCCAGTGACCATCATATCCTTCACGACCTGTCAATAATCCCCTTGCCCTGCCCCACACCCCACATGAAGCCCATCCTCCAGTGTTTTCCCACCCCCATTTGGCCTCCCGCCCACCTCACCCCCTCCCCTACCACACCATACAACTTTGCCACTTTCTTAAGTCACAAAACAACCTCAAAAAACTAACATATAAAAAAAGGACGTTCTTAATACATTCAGGCAATACACCCTCGTACCAACACTCCTGGACTTTAAACCACACAGGTCTGGGGTCAATATGAGATACAAACATAATGTAACAGATAGCTAGAGGATAGGAGGATCCCCCTCATAGATTCACATGAGACATTTCGTCCCATAGGACAGACTAATCCCTCCGATATGACAACTACCTAAAACCACAAACAAATACCCAAACTCGTGTTAAACGGCAAATTATTGTCTCCAACAAAATCACCCGACCGAGCCCCTTCACCCACAACTATACTATCTCAATCGAACGCACATAATTAGCACAGATAAATCCCACCATTCATAAATGACAGATGTTACTAAAAAAAAATATCCAGTATAAATCAGCAACAGTACAAGGGTATCATGGCAAATGTTTAGCATACTAACAGTCACACAACTCTGAATGATCGCATCCATTTACATACCAACTAGTGATAGTAAACAGTTATGATCCAAATCTTGTAGTACACGAACTAAAATCATGTAAACACTGATAACTACATTTAGTAATTCTTTAAGGTACACGTATGTCCTTGAAAGACAATGATAATTTAGTCCAATTCCGCTATTAATCTCATTAATTTTATAATATCTCCAGCCAAGGATCATCATATCATTAAACCCCCCCCACATGCGTATCCTAGAATACAATTATATCGACCCCTAAACCCAGACTGCTACACATATATCAACTGCTTTGTGGATAGCGTAAGGCCCGGCTATACATCCCATCTCACAATCCTATCAATCTCGTTATTATGGTAGCATCTCGATTCCATCGGGAGTATGGTTACATATGTTCTTGATAGTAGACGTCTGTTCACGATAGAAATAATTCGACTTTCTATAACATCTCTCTAAAAAAATTATGGACCATGTAGTTTCCAACTGGCCCTAGTTCATACCGGTTAAGACACTGATCCAGGAATCTACTAGATTCCCGGGACTAGGTAACAGACACAAACACTGATCCCTTTCCTCCTACGACATACCCGCCAACAATCAGCTCAGATGACTGACCATACTCCAAAATAAAATCGCGCACAGATCAACCGAATCATCAACAAACACAAAATTGCCTAATCTCCCTGCTTTAATAATATTTCTCATGTCTCCCAGTTATACACACTGCTAATATCACCCTGGTAGCTTAAAACGTGCTGCAGCACCATTTTTCGGGCGCCATTACATGTGCTAGCATTGATAACAATATCCGTAACTAGCAGTCCTATAACTTCAGTCAGACTATCAACGTTCCTCTTACTCTTAAGACTTATGGCAAGTAAACAACCCACATAAGTCTCTATACTGGAGTAACTACTCTTTATTATGTTTTAGAATGATTATTTTTTATATTATATTTGAATTATGATTTGTCCAAAGACTCTGACAATGCATTATAGTCTGTCCTGATTAGACGTAATCTGCTCACCTAAGCGATTGTATTGGCCTTACCATTTTTCCAATTGATTGTAGATCCAGATGAGGAAGTGATGTTTAATCTATCCCAATAGGATGTGCCCATGCTAGAACAGAATCATAATGACAATTGTTAGCCTTATTTTTGAAGTCAGCTTCAGTTTCAGTTTACATAATTTTAAGGTTTTAGAGAAGTCAACATATCTCTCTCGGTGTAAGGTAATAGTAAGACTATCTTATGACATCTTATTAGAGGGGATCGGTTAGTTACTTGGACCTATTGTGCGATAACCACATTAGGATCATCATAAACTATATAAATTATTCAACGGGAGTTTGTCTCATCAAACGCCCTAACAAATAATTATCAATGCTCTGGTATATCCTAAAATGTTATCACGCCTTTAAAATTCCTGATTTATGATCAGAGGCAACATTTTCTTATAATACAATGACGCTCATAAACACTTATCCGCCTCTGTATGAAATCCTACATGATATCACACTATACCTCATCGCATTCCGCTGACAAAAAATATTCTATAGTTATTTTCATAAATCTAGGCACATCCCCTCCCCATTCAGTATAGGAAATACCCGTAAATGTCTATTAAGTACACTTTTTATGATACTAGGGTATATCCTGGATGTAGTACAGGGGTAAACATATATTCTAAGTGAATATGAAATAGTAACTTCCTTTTATACACTCAGGAATTACCACTCAGCGTTACTCTCAGGGATCCTCATCACTTACCTTGTCCTGCAGTCCTGCGATGTCGCTCCTGCAGCGTCTCATGGCAAACTGTCCTCAGGCCGATGACCACCATCTGTCATCTGGGTTCCGTTCCCTGCGAGCGTCGGGACGTACAGGACGCATGGGGAACGGAAAACCGGCGGGAAATTTGAAAAAGTGGACATTCACTAAATACACTAAATCACATAGTAAAACATTACTGTATCAAACCATTTCACATACATTTTGTCCCGAGTGCTTTGTCCTGTGCCCTGCCTGCATTTTTACTGTTCTTTCTGCCGGGAAAAGAAAAGAGACTGAGAAACTAGTGAGAAACGTTCCATGGTGTCCCAAAAAGTGTCCCTTTTGGTCAAAAAGCGGTTTTTAGATCAGCTAGAGAACAGCGATAATAAATCAGAACCACTTGCAGAATTGAGTGATAATGATTCGTGGGGAAATTCGTCATCAGACACTGAAAACGATTTTGTGACTGAACTCAGTGATGTGCGAACTTGGCGCTATATTTCAAATTTCAGTGTTTTGGTTTGATTACATTATTGAATTAAATGTATTATTTTTTATGATTATTTATTATATTATAATTTAGGATTTCATGTTTGAAATTTTTATCATCCCCGGGATGTTTACTAGACTCTTGTTCGGACAGATTTCAGTGAGTTTATTCCTAAAAATTACAGGACTACAATAAAAAAACAACATATTTCCATGCAAAAAAATGTACCGCTTTGGGCACAGAAATACTGACATAATCAGACTGCTAGGGAGGGTAAGTCCTTGATGTTCAACAATACAAAAGTTCCCAAACACACTTTCAAGCTAGCCAGCAAAAAAAATAAATAAATTGCAAACTAAATTCTTTCAACTACTCAAAATATATAGATAGTTGTTGCATACCTTTGCATATACATGTGAATCTACACTGCCACATCAAGGCACCGCTGGAAAGTGGTGCCTTACAACTAGCTGTTTGTCTGTGTCCATGTGTAGAGTGAATCTGTATGGGCATGGTTTTGTAATTATCAGTCAGCTGATGCACCTGCAGGGCTCTAATTAGGAAACTGGCAGGGTCTGCATCCCTTACGTGGTTTCCTTTGGTAGTATCTATCCAAAAAATGACATTTTTGTTGCAGGGGATGCTCAAAATCTAATTTGTATCTTAGTGCAGACTTCTGGGAAAATCAGTGAGCCAATCACATAAGCAGGATATGACATATATGGGGGGCATTCTGTACACCATCTGTGTATAGAATGCCTCCAGGTAGCCATATTGCATTGCATTTTACAGAGAATTACAGAGCTGCAGATTGAAAAGGAATGGATTTTTTAAATATTCAATTACAATATGACTTGTTTCACAATTGTATATGCTATATTTTATTTTCTATTTGCTATTTTTTTCCCACAAAACAGAAGCCCAGACATCAGTTTTACTAGACATCTAAAGCCTTCCAGTGTTTGTCTGCACCAAATCCAAAAAAAGCAATAATAGCAGTGGCTCTGATAAGTTTGAAATTAGCAAAAAGAAAAAAGGTGCATATAGGCAGAGTGATATACCAAACAATAAAAATTAAAAACATACAGTATAACCAGCTCATCACACTACTAAAAAAAGTTTTGGATTTATATACACCATGCAGTATATATTCTGAAATACATAAAATAATAATTAGACTGAAATGAATATTCTGCTTGCCAAGGAAAACTGAAAGTATGGAAACAGAAATACAAAGGCCAAGATTAATTATATCATGGCATGTGAACACGTTTCCAGAAAAAGAATGAAACTATGTATGACTAATGTATGTGCAAATGACATTGCTGAACTAGGCAGGACTATAACTATCTTTATACTAATTCTATGAGGCAGACACATGGTTTATTGTATAATTAGAAGCATGGAGGACATCAGCGTCACTAAAAAAAGCAAGTTATTAACCACTTGCCCTCCAGAGGATTTACCCCCCTTCCTGACCAGGCCATTTTTTGCCATATGGCACTGCATTACTTTGACAATTGCGCAGTCATGCAACGTTCTGCCCAATTTAAATGTATGTTCTTTTTTTCCCCACAAATAGAGCTTTCGTTTGGTGGTATATTTGAGCACCTCTGCTGTTTTTATTTTTTGCGCTATAAACAAAAAATTACTTTTAAAAAAAAACAATATTTTTTACTTTTTGCTATAAAACATATCCAGTAAAAAAATTTAAAAAATCAAATTTCGTCACAAATTTAGGCCAAGATGCATTCTGCTACATGTCTTTGCTAAAAAAAAATCCCAATACGTGTAAATTAATTGGTTTAAGTGAAAGTTATAGCGTCTACAAATGTTGGTATATATATACTGGAATTTTTTTTTTTTTTACTAGTAATGGCGGCGATCAGCAACTTATAGTGGGACTGTTGCCGGCATTCTGACACTGAGGGGAACTGACTAACTGCCACTGGCGTCCCAATGACACTAATACAGTGACCAGTGCTAATAAAAAGCACTGACACTGTACTAATGACACTGGACAGGAAGGGGTTAACATCTGGGGCGATCAAAAGGTTAACTGTGTGCTGTTTTACTGTGTGTGCTGTGTCTGTTTTAGTAGAGAAACATGCTGATTTGTAGTGCTCTGCTATGCAGAGCACTACAAAGCAGCATGTCTGTGTGCTGACGGGAGAGATCTGTGTTGTTTACACACAGACCTCTCCCCTGTCACTGTTCCTCAGCGATTGCTGGGTGGCGGTGGGAAATCTCCAGCATTTAATTTCATTCTAAATTGAAATTCGGACTAAATTTGCATTATTGACAGAGATTTGGATGTATCCAAATTTTCAAATTATAGTAGTAATGAATTTAAACGAATCCGAAAAAAAAAAAAAATACATTTTCATCAAAAATAAAATAATTATTCAAATTCTAATTGAATTTCAAATGAATTTGAAAACAAAATCATATTTGAAAATAAAATTGAAATGTAAATATATTGCTGCCTATTGCCGATTTCCTTCAAAGACTGTGAAATAAAGTACCTAAAAGAATTGATGTTTCAGAGCCAGAATGTATTCAAACATTGATTTGATTTAGATTTTTCTTCTGTTCGCTCATTTTACATTTTTTAAATTGATAAAAATAAACAAGTAATATATATATTTTTGAAAGCATTCATACTTTACATTATTGATTTACACCTGCCTAAAACATTTGCACAGTACTGTATACAGAGACATCAAAATGTTGAAGCCAGATATTGCTGTTACCTCTGAATAAATCTTAATACAAAGAAGACTAACGAGTCAAAAATCAAACAATTTTTTCTGGTGAATGAATAATTTTAGCATAATTTTTGTCCGGATTAACATCAACAATATGCCTTTCAATTTTTTTATGTTGCTTGAAAAAAATGTTTTCAAGGTTTAAGCTGGACACAGCTGGTGCGATTTTCTTTTCTGCAACCACAGATTGCAAGAAAGAAAATCACTTGATTCCCCTATCATTACAGTCAGTGTTGATGGGGGAATCACTCCCACTGAGCTATTGTGTTCTCCTATTGGGAAGGGAGGGAGAGGGCAGGGAGCTGTGCCTGCAGGGAGAACACCCAGTGATTATTGCTAGCAATCCCCCCCCAACCCTCTTCTGGCAGCAGTAGATGGTGTGCACAAGTAAATGCATAACATGCTTTTAATTACTATACTCAACATAATTGTTATCATGTGTGTCTGTCTTCGATCACGTGAGGTTCATGTTAGTAATAGAATAGTAATTTAATTTTTATACATTGCATAAAGTTGCCGCCAAAATTTCATATAGAAGAATTTAGTGATATTTCATGAATAGCATCAAGGTGCTTGGGGTCCAGCATATGTTAATACTCTTGTAGTTCAGCAATTTGTATATGTGATCATGAAAACAACTTACCTATAAGTTGATTTAAAAAAAATTCAGTTTGGCCCATAATGGAGGCTTTCGTGCTGTGAAAACTTCTTTTTTATATGAACAAGTAGTACCTAACTAAATTTCAGAAATTGGATTCAAATTCGAACACTTCCCAAAATTCAAATCTATTCAAAAACAAATAAACGAAACAAGTTACAAATACAAATCATCTGAATTTAACAAAATTCAGATCTCTAAAGTGATTCTAAAGACTTTTTTTTTTGTTAAGAAAAAAATAACAAACATGTCTATATTTACCTGCTGTGTGCAGTGGTTTTGCACAGAGCAACCCAGATCCTTCTCTTCTCGGTTCCCCCCCAGGTTCTACTGGCCACTCCTCCTGTCGGGTGCCCCCACAGCAAGCAGCTTGGGGGGCACCCGATTCTCCGTGTCCATTCACACATGGAGCCACTGCTTGTCTCCGCCCCCTCTCTCTTCTCATTGGCTGGGATTGACAGCAGTAGGAACAAATGGCTATACACAAATGTTTTTACCTTTAATTTCTTTTTTAAACTGAATGGGCAATTTTACATGGTGAGGGTTCACATATACAGTCATGGCCGAAATTGTTGGCACCCTTGATATTTCTCCAGGAAATCATGTATTTCTCACGAAACGTATTGCATTAACACATGTTTTGCTATACACATGTTTATTCCCTTTGTGTGTATTGGGACAAAACAAAAAAAAAGGGAGGAAAGAAAGCAAATTCGACATAATGTCACACAAACCTCCAAAAATGGGCTGGACAAAAGTATTGGCACCCTTTCACAACTGCGGATAAATAAGAATGTTACAAGCATGTGATGCTCCTGTAAACTCACCTGGGGCAAGTAACAGGTGTTGGGCAATATAGAAATCACACCTGAAAGCAGATAAAAAGGAGAGACGTTCACTTAACCTTTGCATTGTGTGTCTGTCTGTGCCACACTAAGCATGGACAACAGAAAGAGGAGACGAGAACTGTCTGAGGACCTGAGAACCAAAATTGTGGCAAAATATCAACAATCTCAAGGTTACAAGTCCATCTCCAGAGAACTAGATTTGCCTTTGTCCACAGTGCGCAACATTATCAAGAAGTTTGCAACCCATGGCACTGTAGCTAATCTCCCTGGTCGTGGACGGATGAGGAAAATTGATGAAAGATTGCAACGCAGAATAGTCCGGATGGTGGATAAGCAGCCCCAAACATGTTCCAAAGACATTCAAGCTGTCCTGCAGGCTCAGGGAGCATCAGTGTCAGCGCGAACTATCCGTCGACATTTAAATGAAATGAAACGCTATGGCAGGAGACCCAGGAGGACCCCACTGCTGACACAGAGACATAAAAAAGCAAGACTACAGTTTGCCAAAATGTACTTGAGTAAGCCAAAAGCCTTCTGGGAAAACGTCTTGTGGACAGATGAGACCAAGATAGAGCTTTTCGGTAAAGCACATCATTCTACTGTTTACCGAAAACGGAATGAGGCCTACAAAGAACAAAACACAGTACCTACGGTAAAATATGGTGGAGGTTCAATGATGTTTTGGGGTTGTTTTGCTGCCTCTGGCACTGGGTGCCTTGACTGTGTGCAAGGCATCATGAAATCTGAGGATTACCAAAGGATTTTGGGTCGCACTGTAGGGCCCAGTGTCAGAAAGCTGGGTTTGCGTCCAAGATCCTGGGTCTTCCAGCAGGACAATGACCCCAAACATACGTCAAAAAGCACTCAGAAATGGATGGCAAAGAAGTGCTGGAGAGTTCTGAAGTGGCCAGCAATGAGCCCAGATCTAAATCCCATTGAACACCTGTGGAGAGATCTTAAAATTGCTGTTGGGAAAAGGTGTCCTTCCAATAAGAGAGACCTGGAGCTGTTTGCAAAGGAAGAGTGGTCCAAAATTCCGGGTGAGAGGTGTCAGAAGCTTATTGATGGTTATAGGAAGCGACTGATTTCAGTTATGTTTTCCAAAGGGTGTGCAACCAAATATTAAGTTAAGGGTGCCAATACTTTTGTCCAGCCCATTTTTGGGGTTTTGTGTGACATTATGTCATATTTGCTTTTCTGCCTCTGTTTTATATTTGTTCCAATACATACAAAGGGAATAAACATGTGTATAGCAAAACATGTGTTAATGCAATACCTTTTTTGTGTGAAATACTTGATTTTCAGGAAAAATATCAAGGGTGCCAACAATTTCGGCCATGACTGTACATGAATTATTTAATTTAATTTTATTTAATTAATTTTATTTTATTTTATTATAAATCTTAAAAAAAGAATTAAGCAAGAGGACTGGTTCAATAAAACTGGAGAAAACCGAATGAGGAATTATTGCCAGTGAAAATTCTGCTCTGTCACTATAGGCAACAACTCTCCTTTCATGCTCATTTTCTTTTCTCCAGCAATAAGAACTTCAATAGTTAAACCATCTTTAAGGATTCAGCATGTTATCTGATCTTTGTGGCTGTAGTTCCCGGAGTTGCCTCTTCGGAGTAAAGCAGACATGTTATTCCAATCTCCTGTTTATCATCTTGGCTATTTCCCAAAGCAATGAAGGCGCTAACAGCTGTTGGTTCATATTTAGCCCAGGGATGAATGGAATTCAGGAAATGATTGGATACCTTCAAAAAAGAGTAGATCAGCTAACCAGCCAGAGCCCAACATCTATGGAAAATTCTCTCAAGCAACAGGAGATAATGGCATCATTACAGGATCAGCTTATAAAGGTAAAGTACATAATATTTAGGCTCGGGGTCACCTAGTATTGAGGACTGTGGAAAAGTGAACTGCAGAAAAAACACAACTATTTATCGCTATTTTCTTTGTGCTTGCAGATGCAATATTAAAAAAAAAGTATGTACGCTCCATATTTGGAGGTATACAGCAGAAAATTTAGCAAGCATTCTTTATACTCCAGACAAAAATAGCTATCACACACAATGTAACCCATCACCCATCAGTCATGCATCAGTGAATGACATTTCTAAACTGCAATTTTCACTGCTCAGGTAATATTGCAGCTTATAATGAAAAAGTAGCTTGACCTAACAATACATGAGCTTTCTAGTGAACTCACACGCGTTCTGTGTTTTGTACCATTAAACACACATGTATGTTGGGTCTTTCCAGCAAGCATACTTCCCATTACTATAAGTTCCATTTATTGCTCAGAACTGGCCACGTGCCCTCCTTTCTCCCAAGGCAGAAGCAGCCTATAAACTTCAGGGCTGTAAACTTCTGTCAGCCTTTCTCTCTAGCTAAGCCAATAATACAATCAAGGCTGGAAATGCACACATTTTAATTGCAATTTGCATATAGTTTTTGGAAGTGACTGCTCTGAGCTTCAACACAATCAACAAAGTGGTGGCCTCCAGCTAGAAGAAACAGGAGCAAATTACACCACACACTCATTTTGGTAGCATAATTATTCATGTGGAATGTACACTCACCGGCCACTTTATTAGGTACATCTTGCCCCACACCATCACCATTACACCACCATCACTAGCCTGAACCATTGATACAAGGCAGGATGGATCCATGCTTTCATGTTATTTACGCCACATTCTGACTCCAGCATTTGAATGTTGCAGCAACCAGTCTGCCCATTCTCCTCTTACCTCTGACATTAGCAAGGCATTTTTATCCACACAACTGCCGCTCAATGGATATTTTCTTATTTTCTGACCATTCTCTGTAAACCCTAGAGATGGTGAAAATGCCAGTAGATCATATGTTTTTGAAATACTCAGACCAGCCTGTCTGGCACCAACAACAATACCAGGTTTGAAGTCACTTATATCCCCTTTCTTTCCCATTCTGATGCTTGGTTTGAACTTATGAAGTTGTCCTCACCACGTCAAGATGCCTAAATGCATTAAGTTGCTGCCATGTGATTGGTTGATTAGCAATTTGGGTCACCAAGCAATTGAACAGGTGTACCTAATAAAGTGGTCAGTGAGTGTATGTTCTTTTTTTTATAGAACATTAATTATTATCAAACTACTATGGGTAAAGTTCCTATTTAATATGTTTATTGCTGTGTGTGCTTTCCCTCCCTGGTGACAATGACACCCTCTCTTTATTGTACAGACATCAGAAGCAACAGAAGGTGAAACGAAATCACTCCAGTAGGGGTCACAGACAAGAATTAAAAACCTGACAGAAAGTGTAAGGCCTCATTCAAATAAGGGAGTCGTATTCATGTCTTCAGTGGTTGTGTCCCAATGTGACATCCATGTGGATGCGGGTGCATGCCCCAAACTTACCTTGGGTGTGTTTGGGGCCACACACACCTACACCTGCATGAACGTCACATTCGTAGCTGCGGTTGTGTTCATGCAGCCGCTGCATCCCAATAGACAGCTATGGGACTGCCAACACTGAGATGCACATAACACCTGTGCATCTCTGTGCCAGTAAAGCATGGCCCCACACATATCATGGATTTAATTGCCCTGTGTGAATGAGGCCTTTCTCTTCCCCATTCTATCCAAAATTAAAAATAAATAAATAAAGCAAATATAAAATGTTTGGAGTTAGGCTTTAAAACATAATTTGAGTGGTCCCTCTGATTTTAGGACAGTTGTTATGTTTCTTTGATAGCTTTACCATTTTATAGATTTTACATACTGCTGCTCCTCGATTAGCCATAGCCAAAGAGGTGTAAAGGGATACATTGTAGTGTTTATGTTCATGTCCAGTAAAATATACCTTCATATGTTACAGACATCAATATGGATCCAGAATATAGACTCTGATCTGGAAAGACACAGTGATCCTGGCTGGAGCATCAATGAATGTGAGGAAGTACAGAACAAACTTGGTGAATTGGCCAGACAAACCAAGGTGATTCAACAATTGCTGATTACATCTATATTTCCCACTGATCTTACACTATGTCACATATGCTATAATGCAACCAATGCTTTAAAGGGAATGTATAAACTTTTCAATGTTTTTTTAGGTATACAGTACACCAAACCTTTGTTTCTATGTTTAGCTTCTAATTGTATATGTGCATAGGGCCACCAAGCCTACTCATAACATACTAAAGATTTGCTTCCTTTTTTGCAGGGCATAACAGTTAAGCATTACTGCTTCTTCTCAAAATTTAAGTCTATTAGTTAGCCAACCTTTTTAAAACAATGTACAGGCAGTCCTCGAGTTACAAACATCTGACTGACATATGACTCACAATTAAGAACGGAGGCAGTGGTGGACATCAAACTGGTCCCAGAAATCACTGTGCGGCCATCTTGCTGCTCACTGCATGCTACCACCTACTTTCCGGTGGACCTGTCAGCAATCCTACATCACTGCATTAGCCAGTTAAGCCTTCCTTATGCTATCCAAAACTTAAAAATAATAATGTTTTGGCTGGGGTTACACTTATAAGAAAATGTTCCAACTTGCATACAAATTCAAATTAAGAACAAACCTACAGAATCTTGTTCATGCAGCACTACCCCCTTAGTAGTTGCTGAGTATTTGGGTCCAATTCTAGTCCTGCACAGCCAGGTAACACATCTTCCACAGACTTGCATCCAAGAGTCAGTAGCCAGTTCTTTAGCTTGTTTTTTGTGGATTTTATTAAGCGAGTTTCAACTTTAATGCGGTAGGGGATTTATGGGATGCCCAATGGAACCGAGAAACTGAGGACAACTTCTGGAACTATTTACAAGTCTTTATAGCAAAACAGTCTTTTTTTGGAGAGCTAGCCAGGATCTCCTGTAGTACCACCTGGTACCACCCCAGATAAATCCTCTTCTTCACCTAGCTACCGGAGCAGGGAATCCATTGCCTATCACTTTAAGAAATAAGACAGTCACGGTAGGTGGCAAATCTGGTTTCCTACCAGAGTGCTCCTTCCCCTATCTGGCCCAGGGGGTGATATCTTGCTCACTCAGTCTTTCTCCTGTGCGGCTGGTGGGTTGGTGGCTGCTACCAGCTGGGCTACTCCTTCCTTGCTACACAGGTGGTCTTCGCTCTGGGGGCTGAGTTTTCTTCCTTCCAAGCCTCACTGTCTGTAGGTGAGCCCTCAGCCTTACATCCTCTCTGTCTTCCACCCGAACTCTCCTGCAGCTGAGCAGGCTCTCTCACTTTTAAAGGGTGTCATGGCCCTTGCCTGACCTCCTGTTGGGGATTGGCCAGAATCCCTCAAAAGTGCAGATCAGCCACTCCTCAGATCCACTCACTGCTTCTAGACCTTTCTCCAAAGCTCTAGAGCTCCAGAGGGCTGGTCTGTAGAGCCTCTCAGCTCTGACCAAAGTTTGACCCCTACTAGCTATCACACCCAGGCTGCTGTTCAGCTCTGATCGCTAACAATTGAGATCCAGCTCCCTCTAGCTGACTAGGAGGGTGCTACATTCAAAACCAAAGGACTGCCTGGTAATCCCTGTATGGCCGATATCATATCTCAACAAAGGTTAAAAGATGCTGAGAAAAAAAAACAGTCTCCCTCTAGTTACTAATAGCAAAAAAACGTAGCTTTTGTTTCAATACTCACCTTAATTCCAGCAATGTCACCAGTAGAGCATCCTCTATCAGGGGTGGACTGACAACTCATGGGGCCCCCGGGCAATAGGTGATCATGGGGCCCCTGTGTGCTTGCCCAAACTCAAAAAAGCCAATGAAAAAGGTACCAGGGGCATCTCATGGGGCCCCCTACTGACCCCGGGCCCTCGGGCAGTGCCCGAGTTTACAAATGGTCAGTCCGCCCTTGTCCTCTATGCAACTGATTGTCATCATTCATTCACATCATGCAACCCATTTCCACTGAGCCCTGACTATGATGGAAATACCCCCTAGAAATATGTCTTCACACAAGCCTGGGCTTAGAGTAGCACTGCACTTAATGGCACTCACATGTTACTATATGAGGGCCATTCAGTGCAGAAGTGAGAGCTGCCCACTGCTGGAAGAAAGAAGACCAGTGATGCCACTGGGACAGTTAGAAGACCCTTTGAGAAAAGATATACAGAATATTTATGTGTGTGTCCGTGTGTGTGCCTAAAAGGAGTAGAGGTTGTAAAGGCTAGAGATCTGTTTTAAGACATGAATGTACAGATGAGGTATGAGTGGGTGGGGTTGAAAAAGTTGAAGATCTCCTTCAAAACTGTAACACAATTATGGAAGATCAAGTATGTAAAAATGTGAAAGTTACATAAAAAATTACTTTAACTGAAACACTGAATAATTAGTTCTAAACATATGCTGGAAACATATAATACTTAAACTTTAATTTCTGTTGGTGATAAGCCAGCCACTTGGCTGAGGCTGAGAACCATTTTAGAGGAGGGGTGGGGTACACAACTGCAAAAATACTACCAAAGCATTTCTACTACAGACGAATCTGCTTTGGACAACAGCTGTCACATTAACATTTTAGAGGATGTAGAAAACACTTTTGGTCATTCTCACTGCGTAGCTGCAAACATTTTGGTTTGGAAGAATGGGTGTGATTCTCTCAAGTGACAAGAGACATGAACTTTACAAGGAAACCATGGCATTGGAATGTGTGTGACTGTGATAGAAATTTAAAGAAAAAGAATGTATGAGAAGCAATTTACAGGTTTGACTGTTGATATTGAGAACAACACCAAAATATATATATTCTTTTCACTTGCCATAACACTTGAAAGATAATGCATGTACTCTTACCATTTACTAGCCCCTGCCATGCTATAAGGCTGGATATCATAAGGCTGGTAACATCACTTGCTCATTGGACAGCTAGAGGAGCTCACCACACCAGTAATACCTCATCCTGATGTCACCTACAAGGCCACATAAGTATTTCCCTTTACCTCGCATCATCCTACAGAGCAGACACTCCCATTACAGGCTTGACTTCATCCTTAATAAGATATATATTTCATACAATTACAGATGCTGATTTGTTTTCAAATTGCTTGTATTTAAAGACTATATAAGGGACCTAAAGCATATTTTAAATATTTGCCTGAAGTTGTACTGTAAACTGGCCTGTCCATTCTTATTGCATTATGTGTGATTTGAAATAGGAAGCATCACAATATATGGAGTCTGCCACCCAGCTTATACAGGTGGTACCATCTTGGAGTGAAGTATTTGCCAGCAATTCTCGGATTCTGGATGAGAAACTAAAATCTCTGGATCAGAGTATTGAGGAGAAACTGGAAGTTATAAATGTCTATGTAACATTTTTAAAGTCTTCAAAACAGGTAAAATGTACTTCTTAAAGATTCTATTTGTAAAGAATTGTACTAAAAGTCACTGAATTTCTTTCTTACTTGAATTAAACAAGGGGATACATCTAAAGCTTTAGAGAAAATATATAGTGCTTTAGGTATACATAGATAAACTCATATGTTGGGTAGGTGCAGCGTGCAGCAGCAGAAAGCACACAAAGTCCGGGTTTGACAATGATATATTGTAGAACTTGTCAAACAGTACAAACAAGCTTAGTGGAAAGGCTCATCTGACCAGGGCATTTACAACAGTTTGAAGCATCTGTCACTAGGAGTTTAGTACAGCCTAGCTGTTCCAACCAAAAGGGGCTTACAAAAGAAGAATATGTAGGCTCTACTCTTTCCCTACTCTACTGGAACCTCTCCCTACCACAAGTTCTGTCCCTGACAGACAGATATCCTACCCTTTCGCTATCACTAAGCGTGCATAAAACACATCAAAACATAGGGGTAAGGGCTTAAAAAGACTCTGCGTGACCCAAGATGACTGTAAGGGTCACCTGGATCCAGTACATCCAACCAGATCCATCCCACTGGGATCGAGGAAGCCACCAGCAGTGGAGACTGTACACCACACCTGCCTACATATAAACTGCATACAAACCATCTTATCAATGTTGTGTTAACATTTTAAATACCTTGTTTCTTTGTATCATTGAAGATGATCAGATGCAAAACATGCTTCCTGTTTATCACATCACTGTTCTAAACAGTGATGTGATATGCTTTACCGTTCCTTTCTTTCAGTTTAGGTCTTTCAGTCTGCCAGGAGCGTTGCTAGACCCTTGCACCCAGGGCATGTGCCCTAAGTCTGGGGTCTTTGTTCATATAGACAAATTATCGATTTTATGCAATGTATAGTTTTGAAATATTGTATCAACTTTCAATCCATCCATTATTTCTTTTGTAATCATAATTTTTTGACTGATTATTATTATTATACTGGATTTATATAGCACCAACAGTTTGCACAGCGCTTTACAATATAAAGGGAGACAGTACAATTACAATACATTTCAGTACAGAAGGAATAGGAGGGCCTTGCTCATGGAGCTTACAATCTAATGATTGATTTTTGTTTAGTTAAAAGAATCTATTAGTCTACATTTTATCCAAAGTGGTCATCATGGTCATCGTGGTCATCATGATATCTTGCCATCTCCTCAAAATTTCAGTCTCTGTGCCCAGAGGTGCCCCAGGTCTGTTAGGGCCCTGGAGATGTCCCTGCAGTCTTCTCAGATTTAAAAAATCGACATACATGCTTTAGTAAGAGTTTTCACTATGGATGCAGACTCACTATCTGATGCTTTATCTGTGACATTTAAACGTTGATTATACAAAAATCCTTTGTATTTATATTATCTTGGTGGTATCAGCCAAAGTCTAATTTTGTTGATTATCTGGCCAATAATATGTTATTTTGTATTTATGTGAAGTTGGAATCACACATCCAGCATCTAAAGACGTTGTGCACACCTAATCCAGAAGTAGAGGCAGCGACCATGCAGGAAACAGCAGAAGCACAGATACAGAGTGTGCTTGATGAACTTTTTTCAGTCCAAGACATGGGACAAAAAACTGTCTTAATATCATAAAAATGGTGAGATCAACTATACATTAATATAGCATCTTAAATTGTAAGGTTAAAAAAGGATATAAATTAGTTTAAAAGTCTGTAAAATACAATGGGGTTTATTGTTTAAACTGGAGAGTGCAAAATCTGGTGCAGCTCTGCATAGAAACCAATCAGCTTCCAGGTTTCAGGGCTCGTTCACACTTGGCTGTTTTACCAACGCTTGCCAAACGCCCCTATAGCGTTTGGCAAGCGTTGGTCCGGCGTTTGTGGGGCGTTATTAACGCTCGGCAAACGCTCCGCAAACGCCGCATGCGCGGTTTAGTGGCAGTTGCTAGGCGTTTGCCGAGCGTTAATAACGCCCCACAAACGCCTATAATACAGTTTGAGTGGTGTTACCGCTCCGCAAACGCCCCGCAAACGCGTCGCAACCGCACCGCAAAAACGCCGGCCGGGCGTTTGCGGAGCGGCACCATAGACGAGAATAGGAGGCTTCAAAGCCTCCTGACTCGACCAGAGGTGTCCGTTTTGCCGCGACGCAACGCGACGCGACGCAAACGCTCCCGTTAGAACAGCACCATGTGCTGTAATGTGCAGAATTGGCAGAGGCGTTTGGGAAGCGGTAAAAAACACTTCCCAAACGCCTCTCTGCCGCCTGCACACAAGGCTAGTGTGAACGTAGCCTCAATGCCAAAGCTTAAACCGGACCTCTAGTCAAAGCTGAAAAAATATAAAAGGCAGCAGCTAGAAAAAACTGTAGCTGCTGACTTTTAAAAAAACAGCCACTCATCTGTCCCACGATCCAGTGGTGTTCTCACTGGCATCACTGGCCTTCCTCTCTCCCCGGCGCCAGCATCTCTTAACTGTGGGCACCCAGGTGGGACAGCTTGCAGACTTTGTGAATGGTCCCATAGTCTCCTGGGACCTGCCACGGGTCCCAGAACACTGCAGGGAAGGAGGGTGGGGGACAGCTTCTGCTTCTGATCACCAAGGTGGTCACAGTGGGAGCGAGTCTAAATTGCATGTCTAAATTGCGTACCCACCCAATTCCCCATAGGGAGCTGGGGACCAACACTTAAAGCGGAAGTTCCCCTTTTGAGTTCTGCTTTATTTGAACAAGTTGAAGTTAGAAGCTGATTTGCTACCATGCACATCTGCACCAGATTTAGTAAATCTAGCCCAATGGATCCCTACTAATGGTTATGCCGTTGATGACACGAAATAAAGCATGTACAGAATACTTTATATTATAAAGGCCTATTGTAGCACATATTTAGTATATGGTAAGGCTTCATGCATACTAGGGCTTTTGTAGCATGAGAAAAGCAGCTTCAAAATTGCACCTAAGCTGCATTTTTGCAAACACGTTTAGGCGCCTCAAGCACTTGGATGCTTATTTATTTCATTGGCCAGAATACTAATGTATTCTGGCCATTGGAATGGAAAAACACATTTACCTATTCACGTTGTGTTTTTTTTTTTGGATGCGTTTTTATTGGACAATTTTTGCACATGGACTTGATGTCGCATTTATGATTTTTTTAGTCGCATGTTATTTATTTTTTCATTATGTTATTGTATTTTACGGTGCACAGTAATACATTCATTTGGTTTCACTGTGCGTTTGTATCTCCATTTTCTGTTTTATACTAGTTGCACTCTATATATGTTTGCCACATTTATTTATGGTATTTATATGGTCACTTATTAGTTGTTTTATGTCACATGGCCTTTTG